AAATCTAATCAAACTAAAGCTCGTCCAATCAAAAGAAAGCATGGAGTTCGCTTCAGGAAGCCAGTAACTGCAGTGTTTACTTTTCAAGTCTATTTTTACCATATATCTTATATACACTAAATAGTGCATCTAATTATTCTGCAATTCAAAAATTGAAGCCGTGATTGCAGACTCGGGATATTCCCATGAAATGAGAAGACTCGTACGTTTTCTATTTCTTAAACAGGGAACTTAAACATTAAAGTAAACCTATTCCAAATAATTTTCAAACTGTTCAAATGATGAAAGTTATTGTTGTTTTTTAAGCGTTTATTAGCGAGTGGGAAACTCCACATGCCGCCATCTATTCAAATGGGGGTAACCGCTGGAATATTCTTGGCTTCATTTTTTCTAAAAGAGATGCGCTATCTAGTGTATAAGATATCTATGATTTTTACCGTTTGACATTTGTTCAAATTGTTTTTGGCCTAATGCTGATTGGCTAATGCACCGTTTGTTGATTTTTTCTATTTTTGTGCTGCAATGTGATTGGTTAGTGTTCTCTAAGTGGCCCCACTTACTGTAGACGCACTGGAAATGGACAACCCTTGTTTAAGCATGTTGCGAAATATTTGTGGCGCAAACTTAGGTTGCCAACATAGTCTCACCTTTTCTAAATTTCAGACCTCAACCCTTTTTGGTTTATTGACATGAAAATTATTGCAACTTGCCAACTTTGTTACTCTGAAACTTATTGGGGAACTCGGGGGGAGGGGGAGGGGTTATCCCCTAATGTCCACCACTATGTGACGTTTGTTGACACAGATTATTCCTGCTTTTCTGTAGTGGCAAGAACACAAGGCAACCTAAGGCTGGTTTTGAATACAAAATTATGGCCAGAAATGGTGGTGGAGAAAGCTTCTGATAAAGCTATCCGTGTCTCGGCTATGGAGGATGGTAACGTTAATTTATATCTCATTATGGTAAGTAAAAGCGTTTATTATATTTTAAACATAAATGAGTAATCGTAATATCCTTCCGGCCAGAGCTATACGGGACGGGAACCTCCTGTACTGTACCGTACCCAGTATTTATTGTTGTATAGTGTGAATAAGAAAAGAATCTAACTTCAACGGGGTAAACTTCACCTATCTAGTTAAACAATGTACTGGTATTGAATCTAGAAAGATTAGGACTTTAGCTTTCTACGGATACTTTCTTCTCTTTTATTGCGACCAGAACGTACAGCTGTATGTATAATGCAAAGCAAAGATGAGATGCATAAATTAGTCATTGTTTATTGTGTTTCTCACTCATTGGTGAGCGGATTTACCAACAGGCTATTATTGCCCAATTGATAGGGGATCCAGGGTACCTACGGTTTTTAACGTCCTTAAGGCCCGGTTTAGACGCCGCGCTTTTCATGAGCCGAACTTAATACAATGAATTAAGCACATGAGAAGCACGGCGTCTAAATCAATTAAGCACTGCACTTAATATTAAGCACGGCTAAATTAATAAGTTCGCCTGGTTCAGGCGTGCTACACGGCTGAAGCACATGTTGATTTATACTGCCGTGCTTTACATGAGCCGTACCAAATGCATAAATTATGATAAAATAGAACATTTATAGTACGCGAGCGTTGATTGGTCGAGAAGCGTGTTTCTACACGGGAAATTTCCCGCCTAAACTTACAATCGTAAACAAAACAATTTTAATGCAAATTAAGAAACTTTAAAAAGAATTTTACCTACTTAGCTCATTTTGTAACTGTTACAGTCAAAATACAAAAACCTTCCCACTTCCGCTTCTGTAGCTTGTTTTGTATTTCTGTAATTTGTTCTATTTTTTCTGTAGTGATTTAATACCGCTTTATCGGCAAATATCGCGCCAGAATTTCCCTTTCTTTTCTTATATATACGTCAATTTGTAGCAAAGGATACACCTTTCGTTAGATTCTTTGCATAAAAGTTGCGAAATTAGGCTTATAAGTTATAGCGATATTTGCTGATAAAGGCAAAAAGGGTTTCTTGCAGTGAAATTCGGATGGAGCAAAGGTCGGCATTATTACGTAATGAGAATTTGTAAATATATCGAGTCTACTACAAATTTTTTTTTAGCCGTTATATTATGAAATAAATATAAAACATTTATTATGTGTGACCCATACAGTTATAGAAAGAACTCGAATAACGTAGAAAAACTAGCCCTAAGCCTATAGGTCTCGTTTTCCCACACATTATATCCAGGCATTATGCTATGTTTGTAGTAATAAGGCTTTTCAAAAAGCAGTCAAATTTTTAATAACCGCAAGCCTGTAGACGCTCAGAAATGCCAAGATTGTATGTGATAAACCTTTTTTTCTTATTATGAAATGTCACTCGCCCCAGGTTTCAAAGTGAAGCAGCGCAAGTTATTAAGTACGGCTCATGAAAAGCACGCCTGTCTAAATCAAAATTGGAAGTACGCCTATTTTAACTCGAGTAAAATATGAATTAAGTTCGGCTCATGAAAAGCACGGCGTCTAAACGTCACATAAGCCTCGTTTACACGAGCAAATTTTATTTGACAAATTTCATATGTCAAAGATATTTTGCCCGTGTAGATGATAAATTTGTGAACAAATTTATTGTGACAAATGCATTTGAACAAAAGCCAGCATGCTAGCTTTTGATCAAATGAAATTTGTCAAATAACTTGATTTGTAAAAGAAGTTGGAGGAACTTGATTTGTAAAAGAAGTTGTAGATATGGTTCCAAGTACAATGGATTTAGTTTAGATATTTAAGTGTAAATACATGTATGCATTATCATAGCATAAATATTTCTTCTCAGACTTATTCTGTATCGTATAAAAAAGCAACGCAATTTTGAGAATGCGGAAATGGTCTCATAGAACCTAGAATTATTTAAATGCAACATTTCTGATCAAAATCACATTGGGAGTTTCTCCTCCAGCATCACATAGGGGAAATAAGGTGGCTTTTCAAGGTGACTTTTTCAACTCCGAGTCGAAATGCCTGGGAGAATTCATGTCTTCGATGTACTTTATAATCTTCGGAATTGTGCAAGATTTCACTCCCAAAATGATTGAACCCCCCAAGACGGTCTGACGCCTTCGGCGTTCGTTTCGCCCC